TTTAGTATTTTGTTTTCTAGTTCTATGGTTCTCTGGGTTGTTGTCGTTTTTATAAGTATTGCCAAATCATTTGCATAGCATATTAGTTCCACTTCTACGTATCTCGATAATTTCATGACTTCATCATACATGATGTTCCCGTAATGAACGCAGACTTGCCAGAGAATGCTAGCGCTACGATGTGCTAGTGCTTATCACACCGTATCTGCGGATGCTCTCTTATAACAGGACAAATACCGATTACTATGTTAGCCAAAGAACGTGCCAGAATTTTTGAAGAATCCCGTCAAAGACAGATAATGACAGAGGAAGAGAAGAAAATAATGTACATCGAGGAGAGACAAAACACTTTAGAAGAGTAGCAGGAGAGATGGCAAATCAGTGAGAAAGAAGCTTGGACAAGACAAATTATACCGGACATCTCGCAATGGATAAATCAAAAATTCGGAACCATAAATTACAGTGTAACACAATTTTTATTGCGCCATGGGTGTTTTTCAACTTACCTGCATAAATATAAAAGAAGAAACAGCCCCCGCTGTATGTATGAGGATTCCGGCAATGATGACGCGGAACATATGCTTTCGCAATGCGAAAGATTTGAAAACCTAAGGAGTAACTTGGAGTTAGATATAGGAAGTCTAAATAAATACAATTTAATTAGTAAAATGATCGACAATAAGGACAACTAGAGGAAAATAACAAAATTTATGGAAAGAATAGTTGAAACAAAGGAGAGAGAAGAAAGAAAATAACAGGAACTAGAAAAAAGACAGTCAACCTTACTTCATCTAAAGAATATCCCAATAGGAGGAGTGCCAGGTGTAGTGAGGCAAACGGAGGAAAGGGATTTAGTGGGTAAGAGCCCCATACCACCCCAGGCGCTAGACCATCAATGCCTGGGGCGTCTGGAAGCAGATTTTCCAAACCTCTTTTTAAAAAAATGTTAAGGTAGATTAAGTCAAACGATGTTAATTTTTTCTTTTTTACACAGTATTAAACACTCTAACGATGTGAGACATAAGGACTGGTAGATAAGGAGCAGTAGGAAGGGTGTAGAACTTAGCTGAATAAAATATGTTCAAAGGACTTCAAGGGATCAGTCGATGAGCTCACCTAGTCGTGTACGGTTGATTTTTCCTGAGCACCATCTTATCCCGCTCAGAGCAACGGCTCTTTAGAGAAAGTTCGGTTTTTCCTAGACGCGATTTCCAAGTTAAAGTTTCCCGAATAACCCAAGTGGCTGTAACATTGTGCCCAAGTGTTCCCGGAATGAAGGCCCTGTCCACATCAAAGGTTTTCTCAGAAACGCATATACCGCCTTCTCGACCCGTGATGGTGCAAGCTACCAGTTTGTAGTGATGCGTTTCGGCCTAAAAAAACGCCCCATCCACCTTCCAGAAGCTGATGACTTTGGAAGTCCTGTTAGCATTAATAGGATCCAGCGAGCTCGTCTATTTAGACGACATAATAATCCATAGCGACACGCTGGAAGAACATTCGGTACACCTCAAGATAGTCTTCGAGCGGCTCCGGCTGCACAATTTAAAAATTTTCGCAGAAGTGTCAGCTAACCACGGACAACCTGGATTATCTTGGGTACCATATCAATGGATCCACAGTAGAGGTGCATCAAAAACACCTGGTCCAGATTTACAATTTCCCAAGGTCCAAAACACTCAAGCAGATGCAAGGGTTCTTGGGGACCTGCAACTGGATGAGAGAATACGTCCCCCATCTCTCCACCGTCTCCGCACCATTGACGGACCTATTGAAGGAAGAGGCGAAAAAGTTCAAATGGACCCCAGAGGCAGAAGAGGCGTTCGAACTTACAAAAAAAGCGGTAGCTTCCACCAGCCCAGCAAGTAGACCCTTTCATAGCACTGAACGGAACCAAATTCTCTAATCGGTCCATCGAGGCTGGGGTCCCCCAAAGCGCCCCGCTCTCCCCAATCCTTTATAAACTATTCACGACCGATACCCCCAAAAACCCGCACACTAGAATAGCCCTATTCGCCGACGACACTGGCCTCCGCTACTCCCACCGTAACCCCAAATATATCGTTTGCCCCTCCAAAAGCAACTCGACGCCTTCCAGGATTGGTCCGAAACCTGGAAAATCACAATAAACCCAGAAAAAAAAAACAAACCTTGCTCATTCCTTGACATTCCTTATTATTTATCCGAGTGAGACCAGTACATTTTGATCCCACGAACTGGATTTGACCAATCTCAGGAAAGTGCCACCCCAACACTCCTGTAGGCCCACATTTCAAGCCGACTTTCTTCATTTTTGTTGATAGTCCAAGCCTCAACTCCGTACAGTAATGTAGAGAATACGTAGCATCTCAGTAGTCGGATTCGTAGGGATAATTTTAGGTCCCTGCATCCTAGAACGTTGCTCATTTTTCTGTAAGCTCTTCCTTGTTCTATCCTTGATCTTACGGATGTGGTGCTATCTGCATTTTCTGTTATAACGTTGCTAGGTATATGAACTGATGAACTTATTCCAAGCGCACGCATTTGACTCTATTAGCTCTGATATTCTGCTGTTTACGAATTACTCAAACTTTAGTCTTTTTTATGCTTAGTTCTAAGCCAGCTGCGTCGCACTTTACTATCACACTGTTCAAACTTCGCTGTAGATCTTCTGAGCTAGAGGCCAACAAAACTGTGTCATCCGCGTACCGCATGTTATTTATCAATTCGCCATTAACGACAATGCCCACCGCTGCCTCCGAAAGTGCGTCTTTGATAATTATTTCTGAGTATACATTGAAAAACAACGGAGATAGGATGAGCCATTACCTTACGCCACGCTTGATAGTGACTTCTGGCATAGATAGCTGAAAGGGTTATCTTCAAAGTTCTTATCAAGCAAGTGTGTCGGAGAAGACAAAGAGCCAGGCCATCCTTATTGGAAGGAAACGTGAAGAGTTTTTACAGGACTCCCATGAATCCATCGAGCGGGAATGTATAGATAATAAAAAGAACTTTATACTCCAATAAATATCCAGTACAGGTAAAGCGTCCGCTTCGTCCTTGACGGCGAAGAGTCCAGAAGCCAACATACGCTGAGAAAAAACGCCGCATTATCCTCCGAAAACAAGCTGCTTCTGTCCAAGACCCAAAACTAGCAATATTGACAGTCACCCTCAGCCCCAACAAAACATCCAACAAGGAAGATAGTCTCAGAACATCTACAAGTTCCCCTCCTTTAACTTCTACTAAAGGTACCGACACCCCCCCTTAAGGGTTTATTGCTGAAGATACAGCTGGTATTCTAAATGGACCCTTTGGTTACCAAGTAACCCACTTTTCAGCCAAGCAAGTCATCACATCATCATATCATTCACATGCCAGGAGCATTGAGCCAGCTGTTTCTGTAAATATTTATACAGATTTGGCCATAACGTGAATCTGTATCAATTTTCATCTGCCAGTGAAACAAAATGTAGATGCAGAATAAAATACAAAAATCGAATATAAATTCCTGTGATACAGCTGCTTAAAAATCCCGCCTGGGTCGCTTAGTTCGCTCTTCTAAAGGATTTTATAATACATTGAAGACCGACGCTACTCAGCTGACCTCCATGTTATAGAAGCTCGAAGGGAAGCTACTCAATTCACCTTCCATAGAGTTTATTGCAACCAGCTAAGGTCATTTGCATTGTTGTGTCTGCTGTTGATCGGTTCCTTATCGTTTCACATGCTTGATCATTATTGTCTAAATGCATGTGCAAATGACAATTACTTTTGTAGAGTAATAACTCTAATCCGGGTATAACATAATACTTGTGCAGCACTTGATCTCCTTTCAAGTTTCAGCTTAAATCTCGGCAATTCAAAATATTACGATGACTGTCAAGCATAATAGAGTGTAGATAAAACTGTGTTCTTATACGTCACACACATGCAGTGAGACACCTTCACTTAGATTTTGCAGATGATTGATTTCGATATGGCATATCTGCTAATGTCTGCTTAAACAGTCTAAAGTTAATTTCGCTTTCCAAACTTGGAGAAAATGTATTGTTTTCTGCAAAATTGGAATAAGGGGTAATAAAGACAAATTTTGAGTTTAATCTTCTAAAAAAATCTGTTTCTAAAGCATTATTTGCAGAGAAAAGTTGAAGGGTGAATCTCAGCTGTCACAAACTCTCCTTCGTCTATTGCACGTTGATTGCCAACTGCTGAAAAAGAACCGAGGATTAATAAAAGTAAAAGAAAAACTTAAAATAGCGAAAAAGAACTTTGACAGGGCATATGTTTGTATCAAATCAAAATTGGCGTTCTATTTACAATTGACATCCCTACTAAGATAATTTTAGCATTGATAATTTATAAATTAAAGTAATAGTAAAAACAATATAGAATAAAGGCTTTTACGGCCGGTCAGATTACATTTAGGAATGTTTTCCGGGCTTTGAAGCCGTGGTCTATCGGAATTTCTTCCTGACGTTTCGTCCACAACTGCGGTGGACATTTTCAAAGGCGATGAGGCAGTGGGCGAAGTGATCTCCCGTGCTTTCCGACTAAGAATGATCATCATTCTTAGTCGGGAAGCTGTAAATATAGAATAAATATTCTCTTTGTGGTACAACAAAAATATCTGAATTTTTATTATCTGTATAAGTCAACAAAAATAGAATAAGACGCGATATTACGTTAACAAATTAAACAAATTAGTTTAATAAAGTGACTGAAAAACTAATTGAAGGCTTGCCCTATGAGGTAGCAAATAATTTGGACTATAACATCAACTCAGTTTTAAAAACATACAGAAGTATTCGATTCTCAACATAACGAAAAAATGAACACCAGTCTACCAATCTGGACCTAACAAGTCCAGAAGAAATCATAGAATTAGAAAATTCCTTTAAAAATTAAGATTGATTAAAACCCAGCAACTATCGTCAGGATATATTTAGACGCACTAGGTAATTTCGTATCATATATCATTAACAACTATTTACATTTTAGAATAATAGCCAGATCATTAAAAATCGGCCTCAACAAAACCCTAATAAACCAGGGAGATCCAAAGTATTGTAAACTATCGACCTATCAGCTTGCCGTCAAGTTTTTTTTAAATATAAATTTGTTATTTACGCAGACACAACACGCATATCTGAAAGTCAGTCAATTTTCATCTTTCAATTTATACAGGGTGTCTCGTAAGCACCATCCCGTAAGTACCGTTCTCTCGATATTAAAAAAAAAATTATTAAGGACTTTGACCATTTGTGGCAGAAGAGCCAGACATTTTTTGTTAATAAAAGTTAGGTCAGATCGTCTTTATAAGAATTACTGTTTAGTTCTCCAGGAACAATAGTCGTTCGGATCAGCGAAAATGTATATACAGGGTGGTTTTTTTATCTTGAAACGCTTAATAATTTCGGAAACGAGTGACCCGAGGAAAAAAGGTTTCAACTAAGAAGTTAATATCTGGGATGGGGAGTTTATTCGTGTCAGAAAAACAACGCCTAGTTCGACCTAGGCTGGCAGGGGGCAACTGCCTAGCTCAATTTCAACTCAAACTCAACTCGAACTCTCTCTCAACTCGATGTAGGAACGGTGATAAAAGCGTAGAAATTTCAAATTGTTGACTTAAACATTTATTAATTTCGTTCTGAGTTAGAACCCATATTTAAATTTGATTTAAATAAGCTACTATAATTTTTGTTATATTGCGCATTAACTGTGCAAGAAAAAATTGAAATTATTTTTGTATACGGAGAAGCCGGCCGATAT